CTCGGTAAAAAACAACCTAGCAGTATTTAGTGAAATTAAATATAATGATAAATTATGACCCAGCAATCTTGCTATTCCAGAGAAATTCTTGCACAGGCTTATAAGGGGACATATGTGAGCATGTTGTTTGGCATATTGTGATATCAGGGAGTTGGAAGCAAGCTAAGTGTCTAGCAGTAGGGGAATGGATAAGAGAAATGTGATGAGTGCACGTGATACATTTCTATGCAATAGCTAAAGCAATGACTAGCTGTATACACAGCAGCATGGATAGGTATTAATGAAATATTGAGGGAAAAAGAAACAGAATGAGGTTTCCTGCAGAATGTTATTTGCAAAAATTAAAAGGACAAACAAAAATACACATATGCTTATATATGAACATAACTACATAAGTGCATTCCATATTGTATAAGGATGCATATGTTTAAGGACATGTCAAGTACATTCATGGAGGTACCTATGGGAGAAGGTGAGGGGGATGGAGATTGACAATAAAGAGGAGAAAAATTAAAAGCGAAAGGAGAAACAAGAGGAGACTATTGGTGACAATGTACAGAGGAGTGTGATTAGCTAAGCTCTCTGCACCTTGGGTCTGAAAAATTAAAAATCAATACTCTAGGTATGTATCTCAGTATTGAGCCCCAACAATATCAAAGTAAGCCAACATTCTTGAAATAACTAAAAACAGTTAATATTTATTGAACATATGCCATGTGTTAGGCACTGTTCTAAGTACTTTATTACTCCTTTAATCCTTGTAACATCCATGTGAGCCCTGTGATGTAGGTGCTGTAATTATGCCCATTTCATAAATGAGAGAAATTGAGGCACAGAAAATGACTATGACAATATTAATAATCATGAGATTGCTTATTACATGATAGGCATTGTGCTAAGTGCTTTGCACACACACGGTCTCCTGAACTCTCATAATAATTCTACAAAGAAGGTTTGTGGATCCTCCGTGGTTCATAGATGGGGAAGAAACTGAGATTCAAGACTTGCCCGTGGTCACCTAGCTAGGGAGTGAGGAGCTGGGGTTTAAATCCAGGATGCCTGGCTGGAGGCCAAACCCCTTACTCAAGGGTTTCTCCAACCCTGCATACAGATGGTGGTGGGACAGGATGTGCCTCAAAGACCCTACAGGAACAAGTGGAATTCTCTAGAGCTACCAACACAGGTGGTGATTTAAATTTAAATGAATCAAAAATGTGAAAAAGAAAACATTCAGTTCCTTAGTGGAACTAACCACATTTCAAGTGCTGAGTACCACATGTGACCAGTGGCTGCCATCTGGAACAGCACACACCATTCTCATCACTGAGAAACTGCAACTCTGGGTGCAAAGGACCTGGAGTCAAATCTTGCCCTGGCAGCTTGCCAACTGTGTGTGTGTGTGTACAACCTTGGGCAAGTTACTTATCCTCCTGGTGTGTGTGTGTGTACAACCTTGGGCAAGTTACTTATCCTCCTGGCCTAATTTCCCTCATCTGTAATAAAGTTAAAATTCACTCTGACCTGGAAGGAGGGCGGGGAAGAAGCTGAAGTTTTACATTGTACCCAGGCCCCAAATTGCAGGGAGTGTCCAAATCAAGATAAATAAAATCTTAATACAATAGTTTTAAGAATCAAAATAAATGCAAAAATAATCCACAGTGAACTAAATATCAACTAAAGACAGGGTCCAACCTACCTCACCAGACTCCCTCTAATCACGGCTTTATCTGGTCCTGTCGGGTTGAAATTTTGACTTTTTGTTCATCTTGGATCTTTTGCACTTATTTTGATTGTTTAAAAACATGGCATAAGAATATTGATCTTGATTACTGAGATTACCCTTCCGAACCCTCCTGTACCCCTCCCTCCTCCTGTGCACCTCTGGCATCTCCGGCTTCTCCCACACCCCTCCCCTTTGTCCCTCTTTATTCCCCCTGTCCCCTGCCTGCTCCCCACATCCTCCTGCACGCTTTCACACCCCCTATATCCCTCCCACTATCCTGCATTCCCCTCCCCTATTCCATACCCTTCCACATTTCCCACCACCCCTAGCCCACGCATCCGCCGCATCCTCATGCAGAGGAGGCCGCCAGGTGGCGCCTGAGACATCGGAGGAGCAGGAGGTGGTGCACGAGGGCGGAACGAAGTCTGCCGGTGACTCTTGACGTGATGAGACTCGGCGTCTTTCTATTGGTCAGCCCGTCCCTGGGGCAGGGCGGCCCTTGGGGTGGGCAGGGCAAGCTGACCTCCGTCGTCCATCTTTCCTTGTGTAGGTTCTGGGAGGAAACCATTGCCCGAGCGCCGTGTACTGCGGCCCACAGCAGCCAGGACGGCGCCCCCCACTCCTTCCCCGGGTCCGCCGCTGACCTCCGACTCGGCGCCAGAGCTCATCGAGGCAGCTTCCAGGGAGGTGACCTTTTACCCTCCTGACACTTCGCCACCCGGACCAGATCTGGCCTCCTGGAAGACTTCTGACCTCACCTTGACAACCCCTGGCCTTACTTTGTCCACTCCTGACACCACCGTGGTTCCAGCAGTGACCCCTGAGTTTTCACCCACTCCACCACCTACCTTGCCCAAAGAACTGACCTCAGACTCCTCTGTACCTCCGACCCGCCTTTCTCCTACATCAGAGCTGACCCCAGAATCTGACACAGCCCCAGGCTGGGACACAGCTCCATACCCCAACACAGTCCCAGAACCTTCCGGATTCCCAGATTCCTCCACAAGCCCTCGCCCCACTACCACCCTGAGCTCCACCACCACCCCTCACTTCACCATGACCCTTCCCTCCACCATGACTCCTCCCTCCACGACGACCTCCCAGCCCACCACTACTGCTCACCCCATCACAACTCACTCTACCACAGTCCCTCACCCAGCTACAACCCCTCGTCTATCCATGACCCATCACCCCACCATGACCCCTCATCCCACCACTGCTCAACCTACCACAATCTCTCATTTCATCACAACCCCTTACCCTGTCACCACCCCTCATCCTACCATGATCCCTCGCCCCACCACCACTACCTACCCCACCATGACTCATGACTCCAACTCAACCCCTATGGGTACTACCAAGTCCCTTCTAACTTCCTTGGGAACAGAACTTCCCTTTCCCACTTCAGCACCAAGAATCAAGCCCGGCCAGCACCCCCGGTTGACCTTGATGGGGGTCCCTCACTCCTCCACATCAATGACATTGAACCAAGAGCCCCCTCAAGCCTCAGAGTCCAGCCCCTCCAGGCCTTCTCCAGCCCCAAGCATGGACACACCATCCACTGAGAACTTCAAGCCACCCAGAAGCCAGAGCCCCAAACTAACCTCTGCACCTCCCCAAGCCCCACACTCAGCTTCTGACCCTACTTTGACTCCCGACCTCCACCTGTCCTCCATGGCCCACCCCTTGGATCAGCCTCCTCCTGATCACCTCACCCTAGGGCCAACCCCTGGTCAGAGCCCAGGCCCCCTTGGCCCATGTATAGCCCCAGTGCCACCTGTAAGGGTCATGGCTTGTGAGCCACCTGCCCTGGTAGAGCTTGTGGCAGCTGTGAGGAATGTGGGTGACCAGTTGCAGAGGCTGACCCAGACCTTGGAGCAGGACCAGCAAGAGCGCCAAGCCCTAGGACTGGGGCTGACTCAGGTGGTAGAGGCTGCCCAGGGTCTGGGGCAGCTGGGTGAAGTTGTGAAGAGACTGGCAGAGGTGGCCTGGCCCCCCAGCACAACTGGACCAACCACCACCACCCCAGAGGAGGAAGAGAAGCCTCTGAGGGGAGATGTGTGACCCCCATCTGGGACTTGAGGGTCTTAAAACACTCCTGACCGAAAAAGGAAAACCAAAGTATTGAATTAAAAACAAGATGTGGATGACATTTCTGGGGGACTAGAGGAACCCTGGAGAGATGGAATCACAAGATTGATCTGTCCCTGAATACCACAGGTACCAGGCAAGGTGGTGAGGATGATGGTGATGAGTATGATAAGTATGATGATGATAGTGATGATGGTGGTGATGATGATGAAAATGATCACAGTGTTGACAGTCATGGTCATGATGATGATGGTGATCATCATGGTAATGATGATCATGATAAAGATGATCATGGTGGCGGTGATGGTGGTGATTATGGAAATGACGGCCATGAAGGTGATCAGGGTGGTGATGGCCATGATGGTGATGATGATGTTGATGGAGATGATCATGGTGGCGATGGCCATGATGATGGCAATGGTGAAGCCCCATTAGTACAGAATTTCTGTCTTGATCACAGATATATGTCCAGCTTTAGAACACAGCCTGACACAGAGTATACACCCCATAAACATCTGTTGAATGCATGCGTGCATAATAGCAGTGATTAACATTTGTTTGGCACTTCCTGTGGGCCAGGTTCTCTTTTCATAGCTTTGCATGTGTAATGTCATTTTATCTTAGTGAACACTAGCTGAGAAGGTACTGCCACAACTTAGCAGAGAGGGACGAGCTTAGGAGCCTGAGTGCCTGAATTTCAGCCCTTGTGGGTGTGAATCTGAGCCAGTTACTTAACTTCTTTGTGTTTCCCAATTGTAAAAGGAGGTGATCATGAGTTTGCTGTGATGATGAACTGATAAGTTAATAGGAGTGAGAGCACTTGGCCCAGGCCTGGCTCTCGGTAAGTGCTCGTTATGTGATAATATTATTGTATTTATCCCCATTTCACAGCCAAGGCAAGTGCCCCAGGTCACTCAGGAAACATTGGTGCCCAAGTGGGTCTGACCCAAGGTCAGTGCTTAAGTCCGACTATCCTGGGTTCAAGGCCATGTCCTGGCTGTGGGACACTGGCAGTTCCTTTCCTTTCTCTGAGCCTCAGTTTCCTTGTACAGCAGAGCTAGTACCAGTCCTGGCCTCCTGGGCAGCTGTGCAGACTGGATGAATCAATGCGAGGAAGGACAGGGTTCGACATGCAGTGTGTGCTCAGTTAACCATTGTGATCATTACCACTCCTGGCTGTGTTTCTCTCTGCCTGATGCCACCCTGCCCCCTGTCCTCACCATAGCCCTTGGACAGAGGGACTTGATGCCCATCTCGGGACATGGAGGCTCAGAGAGGGTGAGCTCCTTGCCTTGGGCTACATAGCAGAGTGAGAACTCAACCCCAGAATAACATGATGCTGATTCCCTATTTTGACTTTGGCCTGGGGTTCTAGTTTAGGATTTCTGTGATAGCTCCTCTCTGGGTAAGCCCCTTCCCTAATCTGGGCCTCAGTATGTAAACTGGGGGCTGGCTTGGAAGACCCCCAACTCTGATCCTGGCTTGCAGAGCCTCAGGCAGGAAACCATTCCTTCCTTCTCTCTCCGGTCAGCCTGGCTCACAGGTTCTGGAGGTCAGGGAGCTGGCGCCCCACAGTCCTGCAAAGGCCAGCAGGGTCCAGTTACTTGCTGGGGGGGGCAATGTCTGGGGGTCCTGATAGATGGACCATCTTCCCCTGCCAACAGGCCAAGGAGCACACACAGAGAATCCCTGTTCCCCTGACCTCATTAAGCCCTAAGACACAAATAACTGCTGACAGGTGACCTGGGAGGGGGGTGCTAAGGGAATGGCTTCTGTCTGCATTCCCCTTGCCATCCTGGGTAGTCAGGGGCTGGGAAGGTGGCACCCCAACTTGGAAGCAAAGGTCTCCTTTCTCATTTAGAGGGGAGCAGATGAACCCCAGCTTTGGGTCACCCCAGAGGGCCCAGCTGGTGGTTCAGGCTCCTTGCCCTTCTCTGCAAGCCAGGGTTGGGGGCGCTGTTGGGCACTCTGGCCCAAGGTCCCTCCACCCCCTGTCACTTTCTGCCAGCCCTGGAGAAGCGAGTAGTTAATTATCTGGTCACTCTATCCCTGTTTGGCCAGGCAGCTAAGCCCAAACATCTGGCTCCAGGGCCCAGGGCCAGGATGGGTGGCCAGCCACCACCTACTTCTGGCCCTGACCCTGTACACCTCCCACAGGACAGCTGAGCTCAATCCGGTGTCCGCCAGCTTGCAATAAGCCGAGAATGGGTGCTGTTAGAGGCCTAGCAAGCTCAACTGATGCAGAGAAAATTCAGTTCACACACACACACACACACACACACACACACACACACACACACACAAAGCAGGAGCAGAAGGGACTTCCTTAACCAGGTGACAGGTGGAAAGGAAGATGTAGACCCGTCATTTCCCACAGGTTATATGACTGTCCCCATAGAAAACCCTGAAGAATCTAGCAGACCAATGGCTTGTATCACTGAGAGTTTAGTTAGGATGTGGGATCAATTTCAGAAACCGTGTCCTCACAGTTCTTTGCACTTGGAGTGTGACCCAGGGACTAGAGAAGCATGGACCTCACCCAGAGCTGGTTCAAAAAGCAGAATTTCTGGCACCATCCCAGCCTTGCTGGATTAGGTTCTACATTTGCACAAGAAGGGTGGGCGATTTGTGGGCTGCTGTCCAAGTAAGAAGTGCTGCTCACATCCCTCTTATGTCTGTATGAGCACTGACCTAAAATTGGACAACCAAAATGATGGTGTTTAAGGAGGACTCGTGAGGCCAGCTGCCCTTCTGGGTCCTGGGGAAATGCTCTCCTACAAGCAGGCTGTGGGCTGGGTGCTCTTGACTGTTTAACACTCTGTAGTAGCTGTCCTGACGTTCTTCGAGATTTTTCATTTTTTTTTGTAAGTGAAGGTGACGAAACAATGAAGCATTCTCCATGCTCCAAGCCTGGGCTCAAAGTCCGGAGTTGTAGTGGCCAGATTCCTGGCCTTCTTCCCTCAGGCAGGTGCCATGTCACCAGGGAGAGCTACATTCAGTAGCAAATAGAGGAAAAGAGAGATAGGGAGAGACAGAGAGAGAGACAGAGATACAGAGACCGAGCAAGAAGGATATATTTTCCTGTTTTATTTTTTGATTAAAAACCCTGAATTTTCATTTTGCACTGGACACCCATGAATTTTGTAACTGGTCCTGCCCACAGTATGGGGTTTCCCAGCTGGGAGTGCCCAGAACTCCCTCAGTGATCACCAGCCCAGGCAGGTTTTTGGGGTGCTGTGGGGGTGGGGTTCAGGACACACTCTGGGAGCAGGCCAGAGCTGGGTTTGGATCCAGGCTGTCATCTTGTTTTGGCTCTAGGGTCTGTGGAGAGCAGGCTCCCTATTGGGCCCCCACAGGGGCCACTGTGGTCTCTTTGGTGACGGGCAGCAAAGTGGTAAGTGGTCCTGTGAGGGAGCTTAGTCCATGGCGAGTGGGATTGAGTGGGGCTTAGTCTATAGTGAGTGGGCCTGGTGGGGCTTAGTTCATGGTGAGTGGACCTTGCGTTCAGAACCATCAGAAGGGGGCAGGTTTCCCATTCCTTTTGAATGGCGATTCAGAGGCTCCATGAGGGAAGAAACCTGATCAAGGTAGCATCAATGGAGGCCTTTGTTTGTTTGTTTGTTTGTTTGTTTTTTAAGCAGCCTCATTGAGATGAAATTTACATGCCATAAAATTCATCCTTTTTACATGTACAGTTCAATGGTTCTTACTATACTCAAAGAATTGTGCAACACTTACCACAGTCTAATTATAGAACTTTTCCACCACCATCACCAGCCCCCCAAATGAAAACCCATATTCACTAGCAGTCACCCCCACGGCCCTACCCCTCACAATCACTAGTCTTTCTGTATGGATTTGCCTATTCTGGACATTTCCAGTCAATGGAATCCTGCAACAGAGAGACTTAGGTAACTGGCTTCTTTCCAGAGATGTTTTTGAGATTCATCCAAAGCTTCCTCCTTTTTATGCATAATACTCCATTGGATGGATGGACTACATTTTGTTTATCCATTCATTTGGTGATGGCCATTTGGGTTGTTTCCACTTTTTAGCTATTGTGAATAACATTATTACGAATATGTGTGTGGATGTATCTTTTCAGTTCTCTTGGGTGGACACAGGGGAATTCTCTGTTTAACATGTAGAGAACCTGCAGACTGTCTCCCCCACTGACTGCCCCATTTTTACCATTCTGCCAGCAAATGCAACAGGGTTGGAACTTGTCCATGTCCTCACCGCCAGTCATCATGATCTGTCTTTTGGTTTTTTTGAAGGGTTTTTCAACCCCGCTTTCTGCCTTCATTTAGGTGCCCCAACTCCAGTGTGCTCTCTAAGGGAGACATGATCACTTCACCAACACACAAACACATGCTCACATGACTCGCTCACCTGTACTCAGTCTCCCACATGTATATCCACACACACTTCCTCAAACTTACATTCACACTCCCATCCATCCACACATTTACACTCACATGTACTCACATGTACTCACACATTTTCACACAGTGCAAACTCACACATTCACATTCACACTGTCATGCTGACACTGTCACACGCATGGTCGTTCTCACATGCACATATATGCTCACACACACTCATACTCTTACACACACTCATGCTCACACACTCGCTTTTATACTGTTATACCAGACATACTGACACACAGTCACACTCGTGAAATGCACCTTCAAACACATTCACTCTTACTCTCCAAACTCACACCCCCAGTTTTCTGCACAGGGCCCCTTCACTTGCTGATGACAGCAGGACACCCTGCGGTTTAAGAGCACAGGACCTGGACAGGAGCTGCCTGGGTTTGAGTGCTGCCTCTGCTCTGACCTGTCTGAGTACAGGCTGGCACCTTGGCTGCTCTGGGCCGTCTCTGCCCATCTGTGACTCAGGGCAGTTTTAAGGGACCAAGCAGAGCCACTTAGTGTTACATATCACCTAATTAAGTAACTAATATTCAGTTAGCATTGCCCCGCCCCCTCCAGGCCCTTCTCCACTGCCCCTCGGGCCCATGCTGGGTCATTGTCACCTCCCAGTTAATCCCCAGCTGCTACTGACAATTAACACTGTCTGCAGCTACCACCCCCCCCACCCATCCTTATCTCCACTCCCCTCTCACAGCTCCCTCCACCTTTCCCCAGTGCCTACAGATTTTTTGGGACACATTCTTGACCTAATTGCTCGGGCTATTTCAGATTCATGGATAAGGTGGTAGGAGATCCTGATCGTGCTCCCCCACAATGTACTCACAATGACCCCCTACTCCAGGAAGTTCACCTAGATTACCCAGGACAGGAGCCTGTGTCCCCAGCTCCCTGGATTGAACTCAGATTCAAAGGGCCCTTGGGGCCATTTCACAAACGCTATCACACACCACCACCACCACTCAGGCAATGCCACAGCAGGGGCACTGGGGGAGGTGGGATATACAGGGGCCAGGGACAAAGTGACACATGATCCAGCTCTAGTTGTAGCCTTGTGCTGGGCCTGTGGCCAAGGAGGGCACGGAGAGGAAGACAGAGTGTTTGCAAACAGAGCGGCTGCCAAGATGAGGCCAGGCTGAGAGGGGGAAGGTGTGAAGGGGCAGGGGCCCAGCTAGTGAATGGCAGCAGAGGGCAGTGCCCGTGTGACTCTTCCGCCCCTGCTACACATGCACACACGCACACACATGCACACCCAATTCCTCGTGGACACAGAGACATGGATCTGAGAGCCACACAGAGTGAGATGCATTCGAGCTTCCATTCCATCCCCTCACACATTCATGTAATAACTGTGCATATGCACAGGCTCAGAGGCTCATGGGCACGGAGATATACAGAAATACACATTCCAGTCCAAACCTCTGTCCACAAACAGCTGGACACTTTCAAGCTCCCATTAATTTCTCTCCTCACACACACAGACATGCAGAAATAGGCCCAGAGAGCCCCAACACAAGCAGCTATGCTTACTGCCAGACACACCCACAGATGCACACTCAGAGCCAGCCTCTTACACAATCACTGTGGGACAGTTCTCTGCTGTTCTGTATCTCTGTCTCTGTCTCCCTCCCTCTCTGTGTGTCTCTCCCTTTCTCTGTCTCCATCTGTCTGTCTATCTCGTCCTCCCTCTGTCTTTCTCTCCCTCTCTGTCTCCCTCCTGCACGGTGCTCAGCCAGAACACATGTGCACACACTGTCCTACCCTTTCCCAAGCTCACAGACCAACAACATGACAGGGACCTCAATGCCAGAGGGACTTTATTTGCAGAGAGCAGTTGAGGTGAGAGGAGAGAGTGCTCTTTAAGGGCCTCAGGAGTGAGTGAAACCCAGGGAGGAGGAGAGACAGGGCAGGAGGACAGGGCAGCATGCACAGCCCAGGGGTTCATTACCGGACAAGCTTTTACCACCCCCTTGCTATGGCTGGGATTGCCCCAGCTACATGGGACACATCAGAGAGCAGGACAGGCCCGACCCCTTCAATCCACAATCCGGAGCTCTCAGAATAGGCATAGCAAGAATGTCATGCAGCCTGGAGGTAACAAGGTCACAGAGGAGAGTCAGAGTGGGGATGCTGGACCTGATGCTGCAGTGCTGTGTGGGGTGGGAGAGGCGGCCAGCTAGGGAGGGAGCCCTAAACATGGCAGGTTCACAAGAGGTGAAGGGATAAGCCTGGAGTACTGCAGGTAAAGAATACAGCAAGTACAAATGCCCTGGAGATATGGGGACAGGTGCAGATGGACACACAGCGGCTCTAGAGACCCCAAGGCCAAGGGAGGGAGATGAAGTGGATGGAAAGGGAAGGGTAGTGAAACAGATGAAAACAGGCAGAGAGAAGCCAAAAGCCACACGAATGCCCAGATCTCTAGATGTGGGACCCCCTTTCCTTTTTAAGTCTCCCTGGGCAAGGGTGGGTACAGGCTTCCTGGCCTTCTCACTCTTCGGCCTCCCCGTCGCCTTTGTCCACCTCTTCAGTCTCTCCCTCCCGCTGCCTCCAGGGTCGCCCCAGGTAGCTCTGGATGGAGCTCACGGGACTTCTCTCCCGGGGCCGGGGGTCCAGCAGCCCCCACAGAAGGGTGTCTGCCACTGGTGTCAGGCCAAACCAGGGCTGAGGCCGGTCCTGGGGCTGGCCTGAGGCCTGCCAGAGGAGGAAGTCCTCATAGAAAGGGTCAGTCTCTGCCATGGGCTGGTCCCAGGGGAAATAGCCCGTGAGAAGGCAGAATAGCAGGACCCCCAGTGCCCACGCATCCAGGGAAGGCTGGATGGGCAGGCCCTCAGGGAGGGGAGGGGGGCTGCAGAGCTCGGGGGCTGTGTAGGGGATAGGCGGTCCGGTCAGGCGGAGCAGGGTCCCACGAGGCCGCGTGTGGCCAAAGTCGGTCAGCTTGACCCGCCAGCAGGCCGGGTCGCACACCAGCACGTTCTCAGGCTTGAGGTCCCGGTACACCAGGCCGTGTGAATGAATGTGCTCCAGGGCTGAGGCCAGCTGGGCTGCACAGCGCTGGGCCGCTGGCTGCGGGAGGCCCACCTGTGGGGGTGTGTGTCAGGGCCCGCTGCCCCTCCCTGGCTACCAGAAGGGAACTCGGGCCACACCGCTTCACCTCAGCTCCAGGGGGAAGACCCAGGAGAATACACGGAAGTCTTCAAGTAAGTTAGCCCAGGAGGCCAGGGATGCCCAGTGAGGGCTGGTGAGGTCTGATGTGACCTCTGGAGGCCAGTCTGTCCCTGGGAGGACCCGGGAGACCAGTGAGGCCAAGTAAAACCCCGGGAGGGCAGTGTGACCCAGTGTGACCCCAGGAAGGCTGTGAGTTTTAGAGGGTGCAGCGTTGGCTCTGTGGTGTCAGTGAACTCGAGAAAGGACTGGCAACCCTGTGACCCATGGGCCCAGTGGGGGCTTTGGGGGCTACGTGAGGCCTGGCAAGCCCTGACGCAGCGAGAGTGAGTCCTGAGGCCCAGGTCGTTGGGTGGGGAGTGGTTTCTGTGAGACCCAGTGAGGTGCTCGGGGCCCGCTGGGCATCTGTGTACCCACCTTGGGCTGGATGAGGGAGATGAGGTCCCCGTGTAGGATGGGCTCTGTCAGGAAGCTGTAGGAGTCGGTGGACTCGATGCCAATGCCGTATGTCGTCACAACAGCGGGGTGTGCGCCCAGCGTGAGGCCCACACAGAACTCGTACAGGAAGCCACGGAGGGAAGTTGACGGCTTCGGGAGCTGCTTCAGTGCCAGGGGTGTGCCTGGGGGCAGCCAGAGCCCAAGTCACCCTTACTGCTCGCCAGCCTGCACACTCTTCCCTATGCCACCTCTGCCTGCTCCGGTTCCCGCCTCCCTGCCAAGCCCGCCCAAACACAGCATGGCCATAAAATACACTGCTGGTGGCAATAGTACAAGCAGTGATAATGACGGCATTTAGTGAGCTCTGCTCTGCTCTCTCCATGTCTGTTGCCTTGAAGCAGATGAGGGGCACTATGAAACTGAACTTGGAACTTCTTGTGCTTCCTGTGACTCATGTGGCCCCTAGTTCCAGCAAACCAGTGCCAGAAAGCTGTGCTCCAGGTGCCTGGGGAAAAGATGCCTTAGGTGGGTATTAGGTGCGATGAGGAGTTGTAAGGAATGACCCTCTGGAGCAAAAGCTCCCAAAGGCAGGAGCACCGACCTCTTCAGCTTTATAGGCACCACCTGCCAGGGCCCAAGCTCATCCAGCAGGGGGCTGCGTGTAAGGAAGCAAGTCCACCTCCTCACCTAAAACACTAACCACCCTCCTTCCACTCATGCCCCAGCTGGATGCAGCAGCTGGATAGCGCTTACGGTGCCCGTCACGGCACATGGTACCTTCTGTTCTGGTGACCTCTGTCCATCTGTGTTGCCCACTGTCCCCTGAACGTCCCCAGAATAGTGACAACTTCATGTCCCCAGCACCACCCAGACCAGGGGCGGCATCCAGGGGCCTCGAGAGGTATGTTGAATGAAGCACCAGTCCCCAGCACCACCAGGATGGTCTGAGCCCCCAAGGGAACTCAAGGGTGAGTCTTGACTGATACCAACTCAGAGTTCTGTCCAGTGTCCCTGTTTCATGGGAAGGACAGAGGATGTGTGTGTAGACACCAGGTTGGGGCTGAAGGAGGGTGTCCTGTACACCCATTGTGCACTGGCTTTGCTACGTGCCTTGCAGACGCCTTGGCTCCAAACCATCCCCACAGCAACCTCTAATCTGGCCACATGTGAGGACCTCGAGGGGGAACCTCTCTGCTCCCCATTGTCCCCAGAAACTATAGCCATGGACGTGTGCTCAGAGAACCACAGAGAAGGAATCATTACCGTGTTTTCAAAGGAGGAGACTGAGGCTCATAGAGGGGAGGGGGCTCCCCTCCCGCCCTGGGCAGCGGAGGCAAGCCGAGACTCGGGCCTGCAGGCTCCCAGCTTTGGCTGGCTTCCACCAACCATGCCGCTGCGTCCACACCCCACCCATGTCCCCAGGTCCAGTACCTTTCTGACGGTGGGTGACCAGCAGGACCTGGCCGAAACGGCCCTGGCCCAGGGGTCGTACTTGCTGATAGAGCTCGTCTACCTCGGCTCGGACCAGGGTCTGGGCACTCAGTGCCATCATGTCTTCCAGTGCCAGGGCAGCCTCCTGGCCTTGCCGCAGCTCCTCTGCTGTGAGGCCCCCCAGGTCCTCATCAGCTCTGTTCTCAGCAGCCCCCACCTCCAATTGCTCCTCATCTGACTGTTTGCCGGGCATGTCTGCAGGGCAGAGGACAGAGGGTGACCGAGGGCCTGGGCCTGCCAGACCTGGAGCCCCAGGGAGGGACTGGGGGCCTGGACCCCTGGGTCTGAGGGAGGAGGCTAGGGGCTCATTGGCACATCACATTGTGACTTAGTCTCCCTCTTCATTAGAGGCATCTAAGGACCGGGAAACCAGTTGTGGTTTGGGGTGAGGTCAAGCCTGAGGTCACAGATGTCCCTCACCCCCACTCCCACATCCCTGTGCCAGCTCATGGCCCAAGGGTGAAAGATGAACCAGATAACTCGAGACACCCCCACCTTGTTTCCAAAGCAAACAGACTTGGGCCCTGGGGGTGGATGAGCAGCCTCTGTCTCCTAAGCGCAAACAGGTGCTCTCTGCCCCCAGGGGCCAGGGAGGGCAGGGCTGCACACACCAGGTTCTGGGGACGCCTGGGTTCCTCATGGGAGTGAGCATTTGGGAGCAGTTTCCAAGCCCACGAGAGGCCTGGGGTCCAGCTCTTACAGCCTCAGCCCCTCTTGCCTCAGACCCAGGAGCCCAGACCACCAGCCTTTTCCTTCAGACCTGGCCGGGAGTCCAGACCACCAGCCTCTTCCCTCAGACCCAGGAGTCCAGGCCCCCAGCCCCTCCTCTCCTGGAACCTATACAACTCACACTTCTTAGGACCCCCAGACCCTGTGTCCCTAATACTTAACCACTCTACAGCCTTGAAGTCCAGCGTCTGCTCCCCTGAGGGACCCAGGACTCTGGCTACTTGCTCAGCTTCACTCTCAGGTGTTGCCCACCTCAGGCCCTGTAACTCTTGCCTCCTCCTGACCTGGGCTCCGGCCTCCAGACCTCACCTTCTCCAAGGCTCGCCTGACCCTTCCGCTGCCCGCTGTATTTGGTGCCCTGCACTTAGAGCCCATGCCAGCGAGTCCTGCCCAGGAGCAAGACCCCGCCCCCACCTAGGGGGTCGTAAGCCCCACCCATGGCCCCGCCCCCTGTGCCCCACTGGGGTCAGAGCGACATCGTGTGTTGACTCCCGGAACTGGCTGTGGCTGGACAAAAGTCCCAGACTCTTGAGGTCAGTGCCTCCTCCCTCAGACCCAGGGGTCCAGGCCCTCCTCCCTTAGACCAGGGCATCCAGCTCCTAAGGATGAAATAATTTCTCTGTCATGCCCCTCCCTTGACCCCCACCCAGCTGCCCCATCCATGCCCCACTGACAGGTCAAACACAAGTGTTCGGTGAGGAATGGTGGGGAGCAAGACACTGGGGTCCTGTTGGGGAAAGGATGAGACAACAAGATTCCAGAACGATGCAGTGAGAGATGATCTCAGACTTGGGGCCAAGGGGAAGCAGGTGGTGGAGCAACTGGGAAGAGAGGGGCCTGGGGGGAGAGGGAGAAGGGAGGGGGGTCCCTGTGCTGAGTTTGCAGACTTTGAAGTGTGGGGGGGTGGGAAGCGAGGCAGGGACCCCAGGTCTGAGGGAGGAGGCTGGGAACCTGGAAACCGTACCCACCCCACAGGTTTATAGCAGAGGTGAGAGATATGAACTCATTTAATTCTTGTAAAATAATCTTTTATTTTGGAAAAATTTTAGATTTATAGAACAGTTGCAGAGATGGCATGCTGAGAGCTGCCGTGTCCCCTTGCCCAGCTCCCCACCCCGAGAGTATCACTGCCAACCGCGCATTCGTCCAAGCTCAGAAATTCACTGTCAAACACTGGATTCTCCCTCTTTAACCAGTGCTTCCGCCAACGACCTTCTTGTGTCCCAGGGTTCAGCCTAGGACACCACTCTGTGTTTAGTGAACTCGCTTTTTAAAATCTGTGCATTTGCCTGCGTGTGTGTGCACATGTGTGAGTGTAGATTTAGGTCTAGAAAGGGTGAGTGGTTCCATCAGTGTCGCCTGGAGCACAGGGACGTGGGGGAGGTGGGGGGCGAGGTTGCCATGGTGTCAGATCCTGAAAGCCCAGGTTTGGTGCCATGGACAGTGGGGGTCATACAAGGCCTTAGAGGAGAGCAGTGACCTCATCGGAGCTGCATGTCCCCACATTCAACATGTCCCCACAGTGCAGAAACGTTTCTACAGGGGAAACGATGCCTTTGTTTGAGCAGACACATTCAGGACAGAAGGAAATGGAGGGTCCTTGAGGGAGGAGGGGCTGGGGACCCGAACCCCCAGGTCTGAGGGAGGAGGCTGGGGGCCTGGACTGTGGTTTTGAGGGAGGAGGCTGGGGGCCTGGACACCTGGGTCTGAGGGAGGAGGGGACCAGGGTTCTGGACTCCCAGATCTTGAGCTGGGAGGGGAACTGTGCAACCAAGCCCAGTCTTCAGTAGGGGGAGATGTGATCTGTTCCATCTCTGTCCTCCTGGGAGCAGCTGTCTCTCCATCCAGGTGGCTGTGGAGGCTGGGGGAGGGGCCTTTGGCTTAGGCTCTGGCCACCTGTCTCAGTCACCTGGTCAGGGAGTTTCCTCATCTGTCCCCATGCTCCCCCCACCTTTGTCATCCTCCTGCTCCTCCTCTGTCAACTCCTCCAGGCTCGATCCCCCCTCTTCCTGCTGCTCCCCATCCTCACCAGACATATTCCCTAAGCCCCCAGGTCTCCCTCTGTTCCCCCCCAACCCCCAGTCATCCCCTAGGAAGTTCAGGATGGCCAGTGGGGAGCTCCTCATCTCAGGATCCAGGTCCAGAAGCCCCTGGAGCAATGCCAGAGCCGGGGGTGCAAACTGGTTCCAAGGGGGTGGTGGTTGACGTGGCTGGGGCCTGGTGGTCATCCAGCCAGCAAAGGCCTCAAACTCTGGGTCAGGGGCCAGGGCCACATCCCAGGGGAAGCAGGCCATGGCAGCACAGAAGAGAAGCACCCCAAGGCCCCAGGAGTCCAAAGACGGTCGCAGGGGCAGGGTATTAGGTGGCAGCAGGAGACAGAGCTCGGGTGGGGCGGAGGGCAGGGGCCCTGGGGGGGCGGGAGTTGGACTGCCCTCGGGCCGGGTCAGGCCCAGGTCTCCTAGGGCCACACGGCTGCAGGCAGGGTCAAAGACCAGCACGTTGTCTGGCTTCACATCAGCGTGCACCAGTCCCCGGCTGTGGAGGAAGTCCAGGGCTCCAGCCAGCTGGGCCACCACCCGCTTCACCAGCAGTTCGGGAAGTCCCTGGGGTAAAGGAGAAAAGGTGCTAGTAAGGGTACCTT